GACAGTAGCAAGGTGCGACTAATGAAGTGACAGGTGAGTGTATATGTCACCTGTGGGACTATGTGAACAGAAAAAAATGTAATATAATACTCTGATACATGTATGTAATTTCAGGTATTGTGCCAATTGCGGAGGCCAGAACTATGTGCACTGGATCTGAGAAGTTCTACAGGATGTGTGAATCCAATGAGGTAAGGTAACTTTTGAGTACTGAATAATGTCTAATGTTGTCATGCTGTAAAATGAATTACACATGGGTTTCAAACATAAGACAAATCATTACGTAATATAGTGAAGACATCACTGTGAATAGCTTTCCAACAGTGGCATTCCTTGCAGGTATTCTTCTAAATGTTACTTTTAAATGAAAAATAATTAACAGAACCTGCATCAACTGCAAAAAAACACCAGTTAGTCCTCATTACAGCAATAATATTGTCAGATTCACACATTCTACACCACAAAGGCAAAAGAATACAGTGCACCTATACTACGGAGCAGGAAAATCAAAAACTGACAGTATGACAGCATGCCTGAACTGACAGCATTGCAAGGTATGAACGCCATTCAAATTATTTGACTTAATAGTCAAAGTTTGACAGAAAACTCAGACTATGACCCCAAACTCACATGTTAGACAGTTGACAAAAGTATTTTTTAACACTGAAATTGCAATTTTTCTGATGAGAAACTTGAGCATTTACATACTGATGGTAAATGTGTCACAGATATCAAATGTGAATTTATGGATTTTATTCTAAGAATAGAGTCAATGGATTTTGATTTCCAAATATATCTGCTAACCCCTGAGGATTAATATGTCCTGCGGTTTGTTTTTCATCCAGCTGGACATGACATTCCACCTGTTCATCTGCGCCCTTGCTGGAGCAGGAGCTGCTGTTATTGCTATGGTAAGCCACCGATAAGAAAATGAAAACAAACTGAAACCGGTTTAAGTTTTATTTATTCATTTATTTTAAGTAATGCAGTATTTTTTTTCATGAAGATCAGATTAAGCTTTGCTGCTGTTGCAGCAAACACTGTGCAGTGGCAAGACAATTTTTGAAAATGAAGGCAGGTGAGAAGAAATGCTGTAGCGGGATCAGTAGCTTCTGTTATATTTACCTGTGAGAGAATAGCTGTAGATAGGAGAGAAGGCATTTTGGCGCAGTGAAAAAGAGAGTTTGTCTCCCTCCCTCTTTCGGAGGAGCCAGGCATGTCATGCCGTTGTCATGGAAACAGGGAGAAGAAAGGCTCTGAGATTGTTGCAAACATCACTCAGTAATCAGCAATTTGCAAGGAGCCATTTTCTGAGAAACAGAAAGTGTTTGCTACTCGAGATGATGATGCAAATTGTGGGCTGAACTAGTTTACTCACATCGCAGTTTTTTTTGCTGTGATTAATCCCTCCAAACTTAGCTGGAAAACAACAGAAGCACTGGTGCACCTCAATACTGAAGTAAAAAAATCACATAAATTAATGAATAATGTTCATAAGAAATAGAAAAACAACACGTGCAATAACAACATGAACAATAATAATAACAATTATTATTATTAGTAGTAGTAGTATAGCTTCTGTATTTTAATCTCAGTCAAATGGTCCTACTGCATATTTGCAGAGCAAATATAAAACTGTCAGTCCCTGTGAAAAGAAAAGCTGTGTAACAGTCTCAGTCATTAAACCACAATACATTCATTATAACCACTGCTGCCATGGTAACACAAGTCCAACACTACAATTAGAATTATGCTGCCACCTGCTGGACGATTGTTGTCCTTTATCCAAGGGTTCAGATCAGCTTTTAAAGTCTATTCAGTATTAAAAATGAATACATTTAAGAAATCAATAATGATAATGCCTAGATTATGAAATACAGCCCATCGTGTGTGATTTGCTAAATGGGAATGATAATTTTCTTACAGATCCACTACTTGATGGTGCTATCTGCCAACTGGGCCTACGTGAAGGACGCCTGCCGGATGCAGAAGTATGAAGACATCAAGTCAAAGGAGGAGCAGGAGCTTCACGACATCCATTCCACTCGCTCCAAGGAGCGTCTCAACGCCTACACATAAAAACCAGCGTGAGGCCTGGCCCTGCCACTCCGGCCTCTCTCACTCTCTCTCTCTTCTTGCTTTCTATCTGTCTCTCTCTACCATCCCCTCCCGAGGGGGGGCGGATGGCGCCTAGGGCCCTCGCCACTGCTGATGTCACTGGTGCGTCATATGACAAATGTGGTCTCGGGGGGGGAACGTCACATAAACCTCCCCAGTCACAAACAGCATTTCAGATGAAAAAAAAAAAGCCCCTTTACCTCTCTCATGGATGGTGTTATCATTTTGGCAGTTGTGTTATTGAACAAGTTGAATAAGAGTTATTTAGTGCTGACAGTAGTTTTTGTGTAGTTTTTAGAGTCAGAAGTAGCAGTAGTATTTATGTTTTTTTTAATAGTGTACAATTGTTTTACTTTTCTTAAACTTTATTTTATACCAAGTGTCATTTTGCTTTCATGGATAATTTATTTTATAATGATTTCCTGAGGGGGTCAACAGGGGCTTCAAAGGGTTTTCAAGCACATTTCTCATGTCGTGTGTCTGAAGATTTCATGTTCAAGAACTGTGTACTGTATGTGAGTGGATGGTTAGTTTTAAAAATATTTTAAATTTCACAATACAACTATGAAGCATTGTAAGCCTTTGCCATACCAGTATTCCCAGGGATTAAAACCACTTTCACATGAAAGCAATTTAATCTGTTTTTCTATGTGAAACATAATTTTAAAAAAAAAATAGCAAGACAACGCAAAAATACCAAATCAGAGTAAAATAATATTTGCTAGATGTGCCAAGCCTGTTAAACAGGAAATACTGACTTTGATAGATAGGATTAGTGAATTGAAGATAAATTGTGGGTTATTTTATGATATATTTGCCATTTAGATATATTTTCGGACTCGCACAAACTGCGCATGCAAACATGCTTTCATATTCTCTTTTTTAATTTCTAAAGTTGAACTTTATAAATACTAATCTCCTGCTTTGCAGTACTCTGCACTGTATATACTGATACATATACTGATAAGTATACCTATATGTTAAGCACTGACATTTAAAGACATCTCTTGTGACAGTAAGAAGAAATCAGTCCTACCTGCATCTATCAGCCCCAACCTGAAAAGAAGTTGTCTGTGTAATGGCACTCCTTGGTGGAATTTTCAGATGTGAGAAAAGTGTGCGTCACCGTAATTTTGTTCATTACAGTAACTGTAACTTGCCTATAAATCCACATACAGAGGTGGCCTGTCAGTTCATTGCCTGGCGATTTTTTTCTTTCTGTCAGTATTTCTCAAAGCTAGTTTCATGCACTTCTTTGACCATTTCTGTGCTCTCTCTAGATGTAAGCGCATTGATGTTCAACTCAAAGTTGGATAACTGTACTGTTAGTAAAGACTGTGAATTTAGATGTTTCTCGTGGCATGGACATGCATCAATATAGTCTTTTTGACTCATAAGTTACTTTATTTCACCTTTTTATTTTTACACTATTGACTGTCTTGCTGGATAAACCTTTTGTTTATATGTGCAGTACTAAACCTCCCACGCTTACTGCGTTATGCTCCTAATATTAGCGACTGTAGTCTTTGAGTTGTGTCTATTTAGTTTGTGATGAGGTTTAAACCATGTCTTAAAGCTAATACTTGTACCAACATTGCATACTCTGTAATGATCTGAAAAAACGCTTTCAGCTTTCTCCTCGTATTAGTCTTTTGTACTTTCACTACAGATGCTTAGTAGCAGGCTTTAAATCTAATCTGTTTTGTATATTCATGTGCCAACAGCTTGAAGTGGCTTATTTGACCTGTATGATCAAATTTGCTTGCATAAATAAAATTCACTTGTGTACTTGTTAATAAATACCATTGGTTTCTTGTGTCCAGTTTGTTTTGATATGAACCAACTATACAGGTAGTAGCACAGGATTTTAAAGAGTTACAATATGAGACAAAAATATAAACTCTTAGCTTTACAGTGAATCTGTAAGTACAGCCAAGAGGATTCATTTATAGACAGATGAACTAAAATGATCAAAGAGTAAAGACCACTAATAAAGGTAAGAAGAAAATCAACTCAGCAATTACATTATACCACTAGATGTCATGCTTTATTCTTAATCACTTCAAATAAAAAATGAATAACGACCTAAACAGATTGTTAAGCTACTCAACACTGACCATGGAATCATACTAGCATAAAAAAGACACCTAACTCAGAGGATGTACTGGTGTTTTGTTTACACATAACAGACAATGTAGGAAAGAACTAATTTTAAATTGAATCTTTAAACACTTGGTTACTAGCAGAAACATAATTTGTTTCATTTCTTTAGGTTAATCTACAAAAATACCAAAGACAACAAAGTTTGACAAGTGTAAAATTGTATTTTTGCACTGACAAGGTGATTCCTAAAGAGCTATTACCCCAAATCTGTTAATCAAAAACGTATCATACCTTAGCATCGGGGGCAGAGAGTCCTTAAAGGAATGTGATAAAACCAGAAAAATGTAGGACAAAAGAAAAAGTGGCACACCTACAACATAACGAACAGTATGCAAAAATCATGTCTTTCAGAAATTGGAAACAATCCAGCAAAGACTTGACACACGACCTGAGAGATTCATCTGGCACATCTTCAGTTGATCCATCTACTGTTCACTGAAGCCTAATGAGAAATGGTTTCAGTGGAAGGGTGGCTACCTAGAAGCCATTCTTAAGGGAAAAAAACAGGGAGAAAAGGCTGATGTATGCCAAATTACACAAGAATTGTACAGAATATCAGTGGATAAAAGGTCTCCTTGAGTGATGAACCCAAATCTGAAATTGGTTGGAATCACGCTCGAAATGTATGGAGGAGGTCAGGAGAGAGGTTCAGCAGAAAAAACAGAAAGTACTGTGAGATTTTGATCCGTCATGCAATACCACCTGGAAAACACCTGACTGACAAAGGTTTCATTTTTCACCATGATAGCGATTCCAAACCCACTGCCAATGGAGTAAAAGTGTACTTGGACAGAAAAAGCACACACAATGGCACACCATCAGTCACTACATGGTCTCCCCAGAGTGTGCACCTCAGCATTACTGAAGCGGCGTGGGATCATCTTGACAAAGAATAGAACAAAAGGCAGCCAACATCCAAAGTGGAGCTTTGGGTGTCCTTCAAGACACCTGGACACTACTTAAAGAAATGACAAGAAAGCTTGCTTAAAAGAGTTCTGGCTGTGTTAAGAATAAAGGTGGTCATACCAAGTATTGACTTTGAAGCTAGTTAGAATTGTACACACAGTTTTTTCAACTATATTCCCATGTATGTTTAATAAATCACTGTACCTATTTCAGGTTTACCTGGCAAAATGTAAAGAGATGAGAGGTGGCTCAAGCCACCGCTCAAGCCCTTTACATAGGATTATATCAGCATAATGACTACCAGAAAATGTATGTCTTAGCAAGACATACAAAAATATTAAAAGCAACCCTTGATTAACAGACCACTAGCAAATACTGTCTGAAAATATGAAAGCTTGCATTACTTCAAACATATCTTCAGCAGACAGGTTGAATTTGGCCACTACCTAAAGCTACTGATCCTCCCAGTGAGGCAATAAATCATATCCAAGATTACATTTTACACCCTGGTGCCAGACAGAATTCCCTCAGTCTAAAATATGGCCTCCAGCTAAATGACATATTAGTATTTGAGGAATCTCTTCAGTTAAAGGAGTTTGCATCAGATTTCATGAACATATCCACAGTGTTATCTTAGACACAGGCTGACAACAGAGGGACAAATCAAACTGCCTTATAAGGTGAACATCTTTCCAGAACTGGCTAGCGTGCCACATTGGTTAGCTTCCGTGACCCTGTCAAGCCTAAGAAATCCTTCACTAATCCCACCCCTCCTTCCCATCCCCCCGGTCAATCTGACAGGTCACCTGTATTAGATCCTCAGCCTACTGCTGCCTCTTATGTACTTTTAAAGCTCTTTTAATTTGTTTCTATTTGTTTTTTTGGAGTGGGAAGAATAATCCTTTAGTCTCTCAAGGCATCCGAATGTCTTTTTTCCTGAGATCCCCTCGATGTGAGCATTTTGGGTGCATTCAGTGACATCATGCGACGACTTCTGTGCCTGCATGCATTCCTATGCTGCCTCACTATGGCTCATCCGTTCTGTCCATCCCAGTGTACCTGTGTTTTTCATGGACGCACCGATGGAACAGGAACCAGGTAAATAATACTTTGTGGATACATAAACTGTACGTGGCACATTTTGAAAATCTAAAAATGAAGGACAATTTTTCAATTTATGAAGAGTTTACGTAGCCTGAGAGTGTCCCTAATTAGGTCATCTTGTGAAAGGATAGTACTTTTTACTTGTAAGAACTTAACTTAACTATATGCCACCTTCAGTGCTCTTATTCTAAATAAGTAAATGTATAGCAGAAAGTTATATGTTCATGGGGATCATTTACATGCGTACTTATGGTATATGTAAAAACCACCCCCAAAAAATCCCAACTGGATAACCAGCAACCAAAAAAGATAAAGTCTTATATTTACTATGCGCTAAGAAAAGCAACTGTTTCTCAAGCATTTAATTTAATTAACTCTTCGCAGTGCAAAATGTGCAGGCCGTATTGATCCGTAATAACATAATGTATGTTACCTGGCATAGCACCGAACTATTTATAGGGCTACCTGAGAAAGACCTAATGACCCCCAGCATAATTAGTCCTATTAGTACTATACCAATAGTAGATAAAAAAAAAGTTAATTGTGGAATAATCACTTTGTATATACGGATAGATGACAAAAATCAGATATTAGTCAACCTCATGCTTCCCAAACTATTGAAATGCACCTTACTACTGATTTTACAAGTCTCTCAAACTCCACTGAAGTTATGGAACATCATTCCTCTAAAATATATTGCCTCAGATATAGTTTGGTGCTTTGTTTAATTAGGTCAAGAATTGATGACTAGAAAGGCCATGCACTGCACAATTCCCATCAATTCATTGACTGATGCATGTGAGGAAGTCAAGCTCACAGGACAAATCATCGAATGACTGCTAAAAGAAGGCTATAATAAGAAACAGCTATGTATTCATTTGTCATAACAACTCCTTCTAAGGGAGGCTAGTACAGGATAACACAGCCAAAAGATCCTCTCACTGTACAGACCAAGAGTTATGGTTTTTCCTTGAATATGTCACCTGTCCTTATATCCATGACTACAATTGATTGCAAGATTTCTACCAAGTTTACCAAGTCTCCTTGGTAACTACAATTATGTCAATTAAAGCATCATACATTGTGATATAGTGTAGATTGTTAGAACTGGTGTATCTATGAACGAATCAAGGGATGTATACCAGTGTTACACCTATTTGAAAGATCAGTGTTTCCTTAAAACATCTGTATCTGTATTACTCTTCTTAAAACAGGCATTAGCTGTTAATAGGAGGAGATCATAGAGATGAGATAAATCTCACATGAGATAAATTTCTGTCTTTGATTTTCAGATCTGTACTGTGCAATGACCCAGACATGTCTGACATCCCCGTCAATGTCCCCGTGGACACAGTCAAACTTCGTATTGAAAAAACTGCAGTACGGCGAGTCCCAACAGAAGCTTTTTACTACTTGGTGGATCTACGATACCTCTGGATTACCTATAATTCCATAACCTCAGTGGATACTGGAAGTTTCTACAACCTAAAAGTGCTCCACGAGCTGAGACTGGATGGAAATATGATCTCAATGTTTCCATGGGAATCTCTCAAAGAGATGCCAATGCTGAAGACACTGGATCTTCACAACAACAGAATTAATAATGTTCCCACCGAGGCAATTCCTTACCTCCGCAACATTACCTACTTGGATCTATCCAGCAACAAATTAACCACCCTGCCCTCTGATCTCATGGACATATGGCCACCATTTAATGGTCTACCTGTATCTTCTAATGCCTCCCAGAAAGTAGTATTAGGTAAGAATAAAATGCTCTGTCTGACTTGGTTTGTAGGACACTTTTCGGGTTATTTGTAATTACTCCAGGAACTTCTTTCTATCACCTGTTAATCTAGCCAGATTTGTTCTCACTGAGCAGTAGTGTCTGCCAGGAAAAAGTCAAATGAGCTTAATCTAAGCAGTGGCAGAGCTTACATTAAATGTACATTATTGCCTGATTAACTGCAAAATAATTAACACAATACAAGTGCATGTGTGTAGAAAGAATCAAAGAGAGAAAAGAAAAGAAAGAAAGAAAAACTAAGTAAGAAAGTTGAATTAATTTGATCACTCTATGGAAAAAAAGCTACTTGTAGTATAATCTGTGATGCATATCAAGTTGTTACAGATAGACTAAAGCCAAACCCCTTAATGTGTTTATGGGCTGTTTCCCTGCCTTTAGCGGTGCTGTAGTTTACTTGTCAGGAACAAGTTTAGACCTGTGTTGTCTGGGTCAAAGCCCAGAGTTCAGATTAATAATCCAGTGGCCTTGTTTTAACTGTGGTTAAGTCTGAACCGTTTGTCTTCTAGAAACCACCCGTGTCAGAGCTTTAACCTGAAGAATTACATTCACAAGTTCAGACACAGTGCACACAAGGCTTAACTGAAGTTTTAAACTTCAGGTTTCAGGTTTATATTCAACAAAAAGTTTAGAAATATTGGAATAACATAAATAATTTCAGACCGTTTTAATGTATGTTATTTGAAATAAATGTTGGATCAATTTACTTACTTACACTAGAAAAACTGGCTACTGACAGAAAAAAATAACCCCACATGAAATTGGAAAACAGACAGTCCAACCTGGTATGACTGCACACAAATGCCAAATATCAAAAGACATGAAACTAACAACGTAACACTATGAAAGTACGTAAACACAAATTCAACTGAGCCATCAGATATGTGGCAGTGCTAATAATTGTGCAAAATCACACGCTGTTTATTTTTTATTTAGTCTTTTCTTCTTTTGTATGCAAGTGAATGAATGTCTCTTGTACCTTCGGAGCACTGACAGTCTGAGGTTAGGGCCAGAAAGTTTATCCATGCCAGAAGAGCCCCTGTGTACCTGAAGGAAATACAGGATTAAGTGACAGGAAAAAAATGGGCCATGCACAGGAGGAGAACTTCTTTAGTGTATCATAAAAGTACTTTCTGTTAATATTAAATAGGAGCTATGCTAAACTTTATTATTTTGAATTAAATGCCAACTACACACAGACTTTCAGAATGTCATTAATGATGAATTGTTATCAACAACTTTATTTTCAACATGCAATAAATGTGCAATTTACACAAAAGTCTGTAGTTCTCTTAAGCTGGATTACAACTATGTTTTTAGTGATTGCTCGATATTTGTGCTAACACCCCAAGCTAATGGAAAAAGTACGCTACCACAAACTGGAGGAAGGGCAAGCACAGCTTAGGTACTTTGCCACTGTTAAGACAAACTAATCTGCTTAATGGGCTTTAGTATCCATTGGTACATGTGCTCACCTATTGTGTGCACCAGGTGTTTACAGTGAGCTGTAAAGTAAACATCATTACTCGCTTATGAAATGCTTCCTTCCACAGTTCAATTATTATGCCTAAATTAAGACTTTAAAGCCAAAAAGAGAACTAAAAATACAAACGCATTGTAGGCTGATGAATAGCATCAGTGTAATTTTTAGTTTTCTTTATAACACCATTCTCGCTGCAGCTCTTTGAAAAGTATTGCTAGAGCTCAATGTGGACTTCTAAAGACTTCTCATAAATGTGACTTTATTATCTTTTGCCCTTTCACTGCTAGAATACCATCTCCACTTTTCTTAATGTTGAATCATATGTATCCTTTTTTCTTTTCTTCTTAAGGCCTCCAGGATAATCCATGGTTCTGTGACTGTAAAATCTCCAAGATGATTGAGATTTCCAAAATGGCTGAGACACCAGTAATTTTGATGGATCTATTTTTGACCTGTGCTGGACCAGAAAATCTTTCAGGTGTTCTTTTTCAGCATGCTGAACTTGAAAACTGCGTAAAACCATCAGTGATGACATCTGCAACCAAGATCACATCTCCTTTGGGCAGCAATGTTCTCCTACGATGTGATGCTTCAGGCTTTCCAACACCAACACTTTACTGGGCTAAATCTGATGGCTCACCAGTCAGTAACACAGGTAAATATTAAAGCTCTAGGAAATCATAATTTATCCTGTTTTTACGGTTTGGGCATTTTAGCTGCCTTGAGCCTCATTCAAAGCTTCACAGTGATATATGACATATAGCTATTTCTGCTTTTGTTCCACTCTACAGTCCAGGAGTCACCTGGAGATGGCATCAGATGGTCCATCATGAGCTTGCATGGGATACTGTACAAGGATGCTGGTAACTACAGCTGCAAAGCTAAGAATGTCGCCGGCAGTGTGGAAGCCACCATTTCTCTCACTGTTGCTGGTACCATTGGCACTACTGTCCCCCCACAAAGACCTGGCATTGACACTGGGCCAAGCAGTGTGGGCACAACAATAGTTCCACCAACATTCATTCCTGACTCATTTATGTCGACGGTTCTCCCAAGAGCATCAACAATTGCTTTTTATAGAAAGTTAAAGCCTACCCCTAGCAATGGTTTACAAAAATCTAAAGTTAAGCAATCAAAAAATGAGCAAGGAAGCAACGTGACAAAGCTTGCAGCCGATGAAAAAAGCAAGAAAAGCGATACATCAAAGTCTATTAGGGACCTAAAGATTGTTGAGGAAACAGCTGACAGTGCAGTGTTGCTCTGGACTGCAGATGGGTTACCAAATGATGCTCCACTTACAGTGGTATATTCACCCTATGGTGAGGATGACACTAAAAGGACAGTGGAGACTAATGCTGGCAGTGGAAAAGTATTCCTAGATGGACTGTCGTCTGGGATGAGGTATTCAGTTTGCCTTGTAGCAAAAGGTGCTGCTGCTGGAAAAGATCCCTGTATTGATTTTTACACACTGGACAATGTCGAGGATGGTGGGCAAAACCAACTTTTCATCATCATAAGTGGCATTGCCTGTGCTTTGGTTTTACCTCTTATTATCCTGCTGCTCTACAAGATTCTCGCTCTTTATTGCAAGGGACGCAACACCGGATTGAATGAAGAGGACCTTGAAAAAGAAAGCTATGTCAAGTTTGAGACAATATCAATGAAACAAAGAAATCTGAACTCTCACCCAACTGAGCTTTGGGCAAGGAGACCAACTAATGAATCAGAGCGAATGCTCCTGTGTTCCAGATCAAGCATAGACTCCCAAATGACCTATAAAAGTGACAGTTCTCGGTCTGAATATCTCTGCTAAAGCAGGAAGCCATGGTAAATGTTCACGCACCATGGTAGTACCACATGATATGAGATACTCTTTACATGCCTTTTGTGACATTGATAAAAATTATCAGCTATATAATTGTTCATAAATATATATTCATTTAATTACATCTGCTCTGGATCAGAGAATTAAACCACCACCATAAGAAAAGTCTTACTACTTGGTAGTCAGGTAACTTTCCATTGCAGTTATTTTGTGCTAACAAGACCAGTTCCCAAGTTAAACTAGTTAAACTAGTTAAACTAATGGGAAAGAAAAAAAATTGCATGAATCATTGCATGTATATTTTAACAATTTAAAAGTTTGGTAACTGCCCTAAAACTACATTGTTTTTCTCAAAGATAAACCTTCAAGTGAACTTTCCTGAATCTCAATTGTACAGTTGCATGGACTGACTTGATTTTAAGTGGTTCGGCTCTTGTAAAGTAGATTATTTGGGGGCAGGATATGTGCCAAACAAACATTTTTTTGCCATTACTATTTAAATTCAGGATTTTTTAAGTGGTCTGTCACTCCTTTGTAACAGCTCTGGTTATGAATTTATTTTGAAAGGCTTTAGCATAGTTAAAGAACCTTCCCCAGACAATATATTTATGATTTCCTTATTTTTAAAGCCTTATATAACAAAATAAATTAAATGTCACTACAGCACAACACATGGTTATAAATGATATCATACAAGTAATTAGCTGTATATGATCTTTGATGTCTTTTTTGATGCCAAAGTTGCAAAGTGTCAGGTATGAATATTGTGATAGTGTCAGAGAAAAGCCCAGATTTTTCCATAACATTTCCATGATCATGTTGGCTTTAAACATTAAGCCAAACGTTGCCTTTATAGAAAAGTACTGTCAGTGTGTTTGTACATAACGGACTCATTAATATTGCCACTTTATATGACATGATGTATGTATCTAATTGTCTATATATGCACTGTGCATTTGTTTTTAATAAACAGAACAACTGTGGAATTATAAGTTGGACATATTACTACACTATATGATCTGCGTAGATAGGTGTAAAATTTTCACATGAAGAACGCATCTCAAAGCAATTTTCCAAAACCTAACAAACTGGTTAAAGAAAAGAAAAGTTGTTGATGGATTTTAATACATTTGCTTTAAATTACTATATGTAACAATATATGTCTGTATGGTATGCTTAGTGCACATTTTAAAAAAGTTTAGAAAGACATTTTAAATGTGATAATTCAATTATCAACAGGCCGAGGTAGATTTCTTTGACAAAATCAACAGGTCACAGCTGCCATTTACTCTGATCTGAACAGTCACTGGATTAAATCCTGTTTTTCTACGATACTTCTACGTTACCAGAAATAGGAGGTTGCAGAATTATAGCCCGTTTACTGCAGATGTACTGCAAATGTCAGCACTATGTCCAGGCATATTATACTCATGAATAGGATTTTTGTGTAGGTGTGTAAAAATTATTATATGGTAAATGGCCTGTATTTATATTTACTGGTCCCTAAGGACCCCAAAGCGCTTTACATATCCAGTCATCCACCCATTCACGCACACATTCACACACTGGTGATGGTAAGCTACATTGTAGCCACAGCCACCCTGGGGCGCACTGACAGAGGCGAGGCTGCCGGACACTGGCGCCACCGGGCCCTCTGACCACCACCAGTAGGCAACGGGTGAAGTGTCTTGCCCAAGGACACAACGACCGAGACTGTCCAAGCCGGGGCTCGAACCGGCAACCTTCCGATTACAAGGCGAACTCCCAACTCTTGAGCCACGATCACCCATGACCATGATTATATGTGTTGTGGGGTCTGGTAAACGTAGAGGCATACAATGAGTGGCACCTGAACACACAATATCCTGCACCGGCTGCATGAATGTCTTCAGAAACTCAGGATGTCTTCTTGAATCAATGATTCAGAGATTAAATCCTTTGCAACTCCATCCTTACCTGGCACAGGTGATAAGGCAACATCAGGTAAGCTCCTCCTCAGCCACACTGAAGAAGAGAGTCCACCTGTTAGTAACTTCTGATAAGGGAGAAATAAAATTATTTTGGCCCATAGATAACTGAATCAGCTCTTTACCCTCTCAGAGATGTGTGAAGGTGCATGGGTGTTTGCCCAACCACTCTACATGTGCTTTATGAACTTAAAGAAGGGATATGACTATGTGCAGAGTGGGTGGGGTGTCCTGGGGTGGGTATTTTTGGTGTATGAGCTATTTGTTGCATTGTTATGGACTACTACAACAGTTTCTGTACCATTTTAGTGAGAGTATGGTTTTTCTTTTCCAGTACAAGTCAAATCTGTTCCTGGTGGGAGTTGGAATCTGCCAGGGCTACACTTTGTCACAGATTCTTTTCATAACATTTATGAACTTTTACAGAATATCTAGGAGTAGCCAAATTATGGATGCATTTCTCTTTGGCGGCCTCGGGATAACCTATTTGCTTTTTGCGGAAGATTTGGTTCTTTGGTTCATAACTTTTATGGACAGAATTTTTAGGCACAGCCAAGTAGTGGAAGATATCTAGTGTGTGGCCTCAGGATCAACTCTTTGCTTTTTGGAGAGGATGTGATCCTGATGGATTTATCAAACAGTGAACTGTAGCTCATACTGGGGTTGCTTGCAGTCTAGCATGAAGGAGCAGGGAAGAGAATTAGTACCTCGAGGAAAAGGCTGAAATACCCATTTGGGTTGAAGTTACTGCCCCAAGTGGGAAAACACCACAAAACTCCCATTTGTTTAAAGAGGATTCAATTCTAGAATCATTTAAAGAGTCTTGGAGCATGGCTCCAGTGTTCTGCCAGTAATTTGCTTTATAGACACAATGTTTGATAGTGTGTCTTCTCCTAGTACAGTGTCTCACAATGTATTAGACTAGGGTTTGATAAAGGGGCAATATATGCTGATAAAATGTGGCTAATATTGTAACTGTAGCCAATAACCAACTCTAGATTTACATTTTCTGTCAGATTTAAACCAAAAAAAAAGAAGTAATATCTCCCAGTTCTTGAGTCCCAATATATCTTCTAAACTTAGTGTGTTACAAAAGACTGTCATTATGATAATTACTCCTTGAGGGTTTTGTTTTCAGCTCTTAGTGAAGATGCTTGCTTTTGTAAAGTTTTTAGTAACTTTGGAGGTTGAAATCCAAATTAGCAGTTGCAATAAGTGTTCATTAGGCTACATTAGGCTAATGCAAGGAAGAATTTTCTCGCCAAGAACAATGGACACATTACATCTAACTGTACAGTAAGGCCAGAAGAAAGAGGATTGCCATATTGTTGTTCATTCTTTTGGGGGGGGAAGAAGATTTTGGTTCCTATTTTGCAGTTATGTTATTATTAGCATGATTATGCTAGTATGGAAGCAAACACAAGCATCTGAGCTTTTGTTTAGCTCCCTACATCATGTACTTCTAGAGGTTTCACTGCAGTATTTTTATAACTTTTTGTCAGATGTAAAACTTCCAGTCACTCCCATTTCTTTTTTTTTTAGTTTTTTTTTTTATATTTTATATTTATTTTTACTTTTTATTTCTTTCTTTATGTATGTAATAGAGCTGCCCTTATGAAGGCCATGCTTTTGCATGCAATACACAAACTACTTCACCACCAGATTGATCCTGTGTAACTGACACAGAATTACCAAAAAACAAAACACGAGCAGATGCAGCAGCGATGTTAACATGTAGTAACACACTATAGTTCTCTTTTTCTGGCAACATAAATATGTATTGCAGCAAGGGAATTGGAATTTTCTGGAACACTACTATGGTGTGGATGTAACCAGCATAATCTGTGATGTCAGCTGTGCTTCTGTCATTGACATAGCTTGTTTTGTTTTTTTCACAAGCAAAATGAATACATGGTTGACTAGAACAGGCAAAGGTTTTAATGACAGCTGTCAGAGTAAGGCAAAAAGGCTGAGAGCACACAGCTGAAAAAACAGACAAAACAAAAAGATGAATCAAGAGATCAATAAAGACGTGACATCGGGGACGTCTTTAGTTTCGTTATAGGTGCTATTTACCTGAGGTGCTTGAAAAAACAACAACATTGAGACAGACCAACTGAATGTGACATGCACAAAAATACTGAAAATTGTTGACAAGGTTTCCTGATGGCTCTGGTGAACAGGAATAAATCAGACCGTGGAAACAAATAAGCCAATAATAAGGGTGCCAAAAAGGGCCGTGTTATGGTGAAGGAATATTTATAAGATCCAGGACATCTGCTACTCCCCTTTCCATCAGGAGGAAAATGCTAAATATGGTGCAGGAGTACAAATAGGAAAGGACTAGGCCAAACTACCTGCAGCCCTCTTCCGGAGGCAACTGTATTTCCTGTGGAAGCACCACTCCTTTAAAGTATGTGACAGTAATAAACTTATTCAGGGCAGCTCACTGAGGGTGGTGTTAGGCCATCTACATGCTATGACTCAGAAGAGGCTGTTGCAAATCTTCCAATATCTCCCAACATCTACACAGTGTTCTGGCCACCCAATTAGCCATAGACTAAGAATGAATAAATCTTTCATTGAATGTCACAAGAGATGCTTCCTCACTGTGTCCATGGAGTTACTTAATCACACTTAATCAATTCTTTTTTCATTGCATTATGACTGAAACTAAAACGGTATGTTTTTTTAAATGTTTTTAGTTTTACAATTTACAAAAGAATCTCCCTGTGGGAATAAAAAAATCATTTTATTCTCGCCTTCAGAACTGGCAACATTTATCTTACAGAAGCAGGAGTTAGTTTTTAATACAGCTATAATAGCCACACTCTCACCGTGTCCCAGATACTGTTTCTACTTGATGATTCATAGCTATGTGTCACTGTCATCCAACACACTGTCACCTGAAGAGTAATTATGAACATTAGACTTTTATTCTTACCTCCCAGGGTGAAATTGTGGGAAAAGGTCAGTGCCCTTCAGTGTGTTTGTCTGGGGACAAGGCAACTTTCTCAGCATTATAAATCATACTGCTGCTCTTTAGTGAGGACGTTGTTCCTGACAATGTCCTAGTCATGCTGGGTATGAATAGAGGTTGTAGTTCCTGGCCTCTGTTAATTGTCATGCTGGGCAAGAGGAGGACAAACAATTTAAGGATAATCTGCTCTACTCTTCCACCGTTCTCTATAAATTACTCATTCTGCTCATTCCTTCTGGGAGCCAGAAGAACTTCGAGAGATGACAGTATAACACACTGACTCTTCATTCACACACAC